AGTAGAACTTATCAAGGTGCAGATACATGTCAAGTTTCCATAAAATAGTTTTATAAATATTGAATTCAATGACCATAAACAAAAGCTGAACCAAAAAGGTGGACAAACGCCATTAAGTGGAGGTTAAATTATTTAGTATTTCAATGTTTTAACAGTCACTTTGACAAAATCATTTCAGCCGCGTCGTGACAAAATAAAGTGCATTTGCGACCAGCATGGAACCAGACCAGCCTGCCCATCCGCTCAGTCTGATCAGGATCCATGCTGTTCGCTTACAAACTCTATTACAAGTAGAGAAACTGATAGCGAACAGCATGGATCCTGATCAGACTGCACAGTCGCAAACTATGTTGGTTTTGTCATAAAGCAGCTCATTTATAATTCAAAAAGTTTCAAAAAGATGAAATTTACACTGAAATTAATTATTAAACTTCCATCATTGTTCAATAAATAATTACTGAATGTTTGTGTTTGTATTGCTTGTCTGTTTTATATTAATGTTCTTCAAATTCATACAAATAATATACAAAATTTCAGTAAATGCACAAAATACTACTTAATCATTTATATTTTTATTACATAAAAAAACATTTCATTACAATTATAATTCACTTTCTACATTTCTTCAGACATAATACAAAAATCATAAATATGACTTAAACCAAAGTCACAAAATTATCATGGTAACAAATTTGAACATTTATTATTATAGATAACTACATGTATGTGTTTACAAATTAAGAAAAGTCCAGTCATACAAGTTTGGCAGACTTTCACTAAATGAAACCCACATAGAGAAAGACTGTCACTTTTATAATATAGAAAATCTGGCAGATTTCCCCCAAAATTAAATTGATTTAAAGTTTCTTCCGCACCTTAGCATAACTTCTTTCCTCGAAAATTTAAGAAAAAGGTCCTTTCCCCTACCTATGAAAACCAGAATTGGTTGAATAGGGTGATGCTCCGCGAATAGGGTTTGGACACAGAAAGGTATATTTCTAATAGTTTCAGAGTTATGTCCCAAAGAAAGTTCAAAGGCAATAATACCAAACGTAGGCAAGACAGAGTGTCTATTCTTTGCACTGCTCATCTACCCTACCTACAAAGTTTCTTGTTCCTATCTCTTAATAGTGTCAGTTATTTCCAGGAAAAAGCTCAAAAAGGCATAAAAACCCTGCAACAAGATAACAGTACATATTACATGTAAGAATTTAAAGTGACTCATTTTGTGAGACTTGTGTCAGCAAGAACGGAATTCTCCTTTCATAAAAAGGCCATGGGACACAAGTTTACTTTCTATTTTATACTTTTGTTGAAAACTACAAATACTTAATACAATTATCTATGAAAGATAAAGAGAAAAAAATCTTGAAAAACTTCCCACACTTTCTAATATACTAATACATGTACATCCTTTGTTTATATAACATTAATAATTATGACCTGTTGAAATCATGTATACTTGTATTAACATATTAAATTAATAATGCATGTATTTGACATAGATTTTCATTGCTGGTATAATTTTATCAATAAATTTTCCATTTTCCTCCTGATATTATAAATTTGTTACTAACACTTTGATAAGTCATATAGCTGAGTAGAAATGGTTGCTCAAAATTTCGTGGTTTTGTCACAAGAACATTTTTGTGGGCTTTTAAATTTGTGGACTATTTATTTCTCCAAAAGGTAAAATGTTAAAGGCACATTATGCGCCAGAAATGCTATCCTTTTTATTTCTCAAAATTTTAAATATTTGGTGTCTTGTTACAAGTTCCACAAAAAATACTTATTTGCCATATAAATGAACTATCTTTGCATCTTTTGCTTTGCTGGCAATTGGTATAATTATAATGAATTAGTATTTTGTATGGAAGTCAAAATACTATTTGTTTACATTTTGCTACCTTTACGACACATTACTGCACATTCAGCACTACTTTCTTCAGCTGTTAAATATCTTACATGTTCTAAATCCATTATTGAAACATTATTAAACATGTGTTTTACATTTCTAAAGAATTTAATAAAAAAGGATTTCTGAGGCATAATGTGCCTTTAATAATGTGATGCAAAATACTCTTACTGCAGACAAAATGAAATTTCATTGCATCTTAAATTCGTGGCTTGACCTATACATGAAAACCACAAAAATTAGTTCCCCACAAATAAAAATGATTTAGCCAAACTTAGAAGCTCATGTTATATAAGCTTTTGAAACTGTATCCTGAGGCATATAACACGCCAAAATTTTTATAACTAAATATAATGTTGCTCCACCTACATGTACTTTCAGTAAGTTAACCTTTAGTACATTAGATACTAGTACATGTCACTGAAAGGTGTGCCATAGTGATTGTGAGACTTTAGATACATATATAGCAAGGCCTATCACACTCTTACATGCCCCCTTTAATCCTTCACTAACAAAATCCATAATCAATTAAGTATAAAAGGCTAAGAGCCACAAAATTCTGATAAAATCAACAAATTATATTGTGTTATGCGAATATAGAATATATTTAATGAAGTAAGGGAGACTACTCTAAAAACAAAAATATCACCAGTTTACTTAGAGATGTTTGACATATTTTCTTTTCTTTTTCCTTATCTTTGAAAGAAAGAAAAACTTGTGAAATGTGTTCTATGCTGTGAGAGATATCAAATATACCTCACTGATCAAATTCTCTTGAGCACCAATTAATATAAAGAAAATAAAGGAATATCTAAGTCACACATTAATGCTCCATATTGCTTTTCTTTGAGACCTAGGAAAAATCTATTTTTGCCTCAGTGACTTTGACTCAACTGACACGCACTCCAACTGGCTGTGGACCTTAGAAATAAGAAGTTGCCAATACACGCCCGTTTAACTCACAACGAGTGAAAAATGTCCATCGGTAAAAATGTTGTGAGCAACTTCCGTTCCTCGTTGTGAGCACCCATTTATGACGTGTGACACGATAAACAAGGTGAGTTTTTCATAATTTTTGAAGATTACAGACATTTATGTAAAAATATCGGAATGCAGTTAGCTAGCGATGTGTTTTCCGAGTATGCACATGTAAAGATATTGCCTGTTGGTGGACAATTTGATGGAAATACCGTGCGACGCAGTCACTCGGGGTAGCTGGAAAACTGGAGACAACTTCTCTTTGGACCTAATTTAACATTGAAAACGTCGATTCTGGTGACGTTTTGTGCATTCTAACCTAAAACAGATGCCCACAAGTCTTCAGCGTAAATTATTATCTGAAAGTCTTCATAGAAACGAAGATATACCCTTTTTTGCTTTAATCCTCGTTGTGAGCACCATAACCTCGTTGTGAGCAAGACAAGCGCAGTGCGTATATGGTTTTAATATGTAATTCAGATGGTGAAAATATAATTTTCAATCTACCAAAGCAATTAAAACGTTTTTGCACAGCAGCATTTCTTTGCAAGACGTTGTGCATACTCCAAAGGGAGGCATATTAGTTTTGAACTGTCAGTCTGCCAGTCCGTCAATCCGTCCGAAAACTTTAACATTGGCCATAACTTCCTTATTAGTAAACGGATTTGATTCATATTTGAACACAACATCCCTTAGCACAAGACCTTCCTACGATCCTGTATTTTTTTACCTTGACCCCTGAATGGCCTTTACCTTGAAGCTCAAATTGTCCAAAAACATTTAAGATTGATCATAATGTCCTGGCATAATGTTTAGGCACAACACCTCTTTGGACAAGGCCTTCCAACTATCCTATATTTTTTTTACCTTGACCCCAGAATGACCTTCACCTTGAAGGTCAAATTGTCCAAAAACTTAAAAATGGTCATAACTTCCTTATTAGTATACGGATTATACAATGTACTCATATTTTGACACAACAACCCTTAAGGCAAGACCTTCAAACTGATTTGTATTTTTTTATCTTGTACCCTGAATGACCTTCTAGAACATCCAAAAACTTAAACATTGGTCATAACTTCTTTATTAGTAAGTGGAATTAATTCATATTTGGACACAATGCCCCTTTGGACAAGACCTTCCAACTGACCTATATTTATTTCACCTTGACCTTGAATGACCTTCACATTGAAGATCTAATTGTCCAAAAACAAATAATCTATCTGGTCCATAAATCAAAGGACAAAGCACCATTTCGGGGGCATTGTCAACTTACCGTGACAGTTCTTGTTTTACATACCTTGGTCAGTCTTCAGCTCAGGATAAACAATGTATGTGTGTATCACACAGATTGTGAACTTGTTGAAATATTCATAAACTCCCCGTGATGTTCAGTCGTGCCACACTAGAGTATACGAAATAAAATACCTGATTTACCTCCACTGATTAGTTCTTCTGTTAATCTGATGACTTGTGAATATGAAGAATAATTTTCAAAAAAAAAAAGAAGAACGATTGCAAAGAAAAACTATTGTACAAAAACGTTTTGATTGCTTTTGGTAGATTGAAAATTGTATTCTCGCCATTTGAATTACATATTAAAACCAGACAAGCAATGCGCTTGTCTTGCTCACAACGAGGTTATGGTGCTCACAACGAGGATTAAAGCAAAAAAAGGGTATATCTTCGTTTCTATGAAGACTTTCAGATAATAATTTACGCTGAAGACTTGTGGGCATCTGTTTTAGGTTAGAATGCACAAAACGTCACCAGAATCGACGTTTTCAATGTTAAATTAGGTCCAAAGAGAAGTTGTCTCCAGTTTTCCAGCTACCCCGAGTGACTGCGTCGCACGGTATTTCCATCAAATTGTCCACCAACAGGCAATATCTTTACTTGTGCATACTCGGAAACACACATCGCTAGCTAACTGCATTCCGATATTTTTACATAAATGTCTGTAATCTTCAAAAATTATGAAAAACTCACCTTGTTTATCGTGTCACACGTCATAGATGGGTGCTCACAACGAGGAACGGAAGTTGCTCACAACATTTTTACCGATGGACATTTTTCACTCGTTGTGAGTTAAACGGGCGTGCAATACAACCAGCTGTTATATTAGGCCATAAAAAAGATGCTAAGAAAAATAGAATACATGTGTGAATAATGGAAACCAGAAGTATCTTTAAAGCCGAAGTAAAACTGATTAACAGGCAACATTATGCTATTTTTAAGTTTTCAATACAAAAAGAATTGTTAGCAATGTTTGCATAACAATAACATACCATAATAATTATTTTCTGAAGATAAGAAAATACCCATTTTGTAAACATTGAAATTAAATTATAGCATATTGATATTGATGATTTTTCAAAGTAGGAAAATTTCTATTTAAGATGTCCGTTTTACTTCTTTTACGTTTGACTTTACAAACTTTGTAATCATTTACAAATTTACCTTAAAGTTCAAGAACTATCCTCATTCCTGTACATGCTATTTTGAACTATCCTTTACTTTTTATTTTATATCGGCAAAACCATCCCTTATATTTAATCTTAGAGATATTCATAAACTTTTGTTTTAGAATTGTAAGAATTATCCTTTATATCTTATTTTAGAATGGTAAGAACTGTACTTTATATTTGATTTCAGAATGACCAATGAGATTCACCAATTTCAGTTTGTAATTTTAAAATGTCCAATAAAAATTCTTCTTATATTCAGTCCTTCCCTGTTAATTTTACAGGGAGTCAAACTGATAACAGACAGAAAAGGATGGCAGACTTATGAAATGCAATCTCAACAGAAAAACTTCAGACTTACCAAGTAATTTTAAAATATCTTTTAATAATTTAAGCAACCACATAGCTTTAAGAATTTATAACCAGAATGATTCTAGTCTGTTATTTTTCAAACATGCCCGTACAGTAGTATGTAAATACACATATATGCAACATTTACAACAGTTAAGATAATAAAATAAAAACTAACTATGATATAAATCAACAAAATACTTTCATGCTATTATTCTTTGTGAATATAAAAAAATTTATTGCAAAAGAAAATACAAATCAGTTTGTTAACCCTATATTGATAAAATTGTAAGAAATAATATATCCCCAACAGTGATTCTATTGCGAAATAAAATGCGAGGAATAATCGAATTATATCACGAGGGTGAAGTCTGGGATATATTATTTCCATTCTAACATATCAACAAATAAATGCTGATGTACCCATGATCAAGCTAAATTTGTTTCCCTACTTATTTTCAATGCACCCACTCTTGTATTTAGTAATCATTCACACATTATTCACATGTGGAGATTCTATAATTTCTTACATAGAATAACTTGAAACCTTGGCAAGCTTGTGACCATAGCAAAAATAATTGACTTATGATTAAAGTGAGTGAAGTAAACCAGGCTCTTTTTTTTTTTATCTTGTTGGCTTTTCAATTATAGAATTCTGTGACCATCTCATTAACATATTCAGTTTCAAAGCAAGGCATATACTTATGGGTTCAGGCACATGGCAGCAGCTAGCACATATATCTTTGCTACACGTATATGTACATTGTAATTCTACAATACAAAGTATTTCTGCATGTCAATTATACATATCATATCCACTATGCAGCAGTACAAAGAAGTACAAATAAATAATTGAAATAAAAAGAAATCATTTCAAATGAATGGTAAGTGTTGTCTTCACAGGTATTGTATAATATCTTTCCCATTGAAAAGTTTTTTGAAGCGTTCTTGCTTTCTCATGACACATACATGATTTCCTTGAATCACCTGGGTCAATATTGCGGCAGATATCTTCACAATTTCAGTCTTCATATTCCCATAATGCTCTAGTCGCTATCAATCTTTGGCGTCCCCTATGCCGTCAGCGTTTATTGCGAACATTGCCTCGGCTTCAGGTAAACACGGTGAGTCATAAATTTTACATATTCTTGTCTCTCCTCTCCCCTTTCGAAGATACAATCTATAAATGATAAAACAACGTACAGTGAAATTCATGGACCCTATGACTTTTTGTATAATACATCAAAAGCTTCTTATAATATCAGTTATCAGTTTATTATAAACAACAAATATATAGTGAATAAAACATATTATAACAGACAACTTATATGCGTGGAAAGATACAATTCTAAAATATTACAATAGTATATTTGTAGTTACAAATTCTTGATAATATTAGTAGATATAATGATTATCAATCATAATTCAATACATTTTTTATAACACAATTCATGTTATCTATTAGCTATTCTGGAGTCATAAGTTTAGTCTTACACATTCTGAAATATGTATGCAGGTGAGATGATGATATATCGATACTAATTTGATACACATTTTGGACAACAATACACATTACCATCTCTTTTGAGGTTACACACTTATTACTTTTGCTTTTCACATAGAATCTTTGTGACACAAATGTCACAAAAATTGATATATTGTAATTATAAATTATAGCCTCTAAATTTCAGCAAAGAGCATTTTTAAACAAATACATAAGTTTTTTTATCAAGATTCGGACTAAATCCACTCCTGGATGAAACTCCTCACAATCATTTGAAGATATTTTTGACAAACCCGATAATTTACAGAGCAGATAATTCCCTTCCTATATTTTTTTCCCCCATACCGGGCATTTCCCATCCTGTAACTTTGACGTAGCTGACAATTCCGATATGATTCCACTCCTGTCTAGATTATTATTACATAAAACATACATAAACCTAGTGCTTCTTGTTTAATTTTTTCGGACGATGATATCACCATTTTATGTTGTTGTCATTTTATAGTCCTCTGGAGTGGGGTCAAATTTGATCCCAGGGCTATAATTGGAATAAACTTGGTAGAGGTTTACTTGACAATATTTCATGCCAACTATCTAAGCTCTAGCTCTTGTGGTTTTAAAGGAGAATTTTTAAAGTCTTTACTATATACTAGGGCTTAACTTGAACAATTTTTGTTGAGGTCCACTAGAAAATGTGTAACGCTAAACTGTCTAAGATATTGCAGTTTTCAGGAAGATTTGACTACTGCTGATACCATGTCCAGGCTCGGTGATAATGGTGTGGAGTACACTAAGTACCACACTAACCTCAACGCTGACTCCCCCACTGTCTCTCTGCTTCACACAAATGAGTTGCGTCACGACAAAACCAATAAAGTGTGTTTGCAACCAGCATGGATCCAGACCAGCCTGCGCATCCACGAAGTCTGATAAGGATCCATGCTGTTCGCTTACCAAGTCTATTACAATTAGAGAAACTGATAGGGAACAGCATGGATCCTGATCAGACTGCACTCCAGGTTGGTCTGGATCCATGCTGGTCGCAAACGCACTATGTTGGTTTTGTCTTGACGCAGCTCAAATGCTATCTTTTCCTTGCTTTTGCCATGTCAATGTGAATGATGTAAAAATCTTAACATTGAATACTCAAAAATTTACAATATCATTGTAAAATGACACTTAAAAAAACCTAAATAACTGAATTCTAATTTTTTTGATACTATTCATATTATTTCGAGATCTTTTTTCCATATTAATATTACAATACTACTCAACTTTTGCTAAGCACCAAAATGTTTAGCAAAAGTTGAGTAGTATAGTAATATTAATACGGAAAAAAATTTCAATCAAAACCAGACCTGGGGATGATTACATTGATCAGTAATTGATTTAATTACAATTACTTTCAGATTTTATTGTAATTGATTACAATTGATTACTCAGACTTACCTCTGTAATCAATTAAATTACAATTACTTTTAGAAAGTAATTGATTGATAATTGATTACATTCCATGTATAACTATAAACAAAAGTTTCTTAATGCTATTTAATATACTAGTTTACATTATATACATTATATACACAAAGGATTTCCAGCTCATCATCAGTCATCATTTTAACACACTTTTAGTTACTGTCACATCACTTTATCATATTTTAGCATTACACTTTAGCATCATAAGTTCATGAAACCGTCTGTCAGTCAGACTGCATCTATCAGGACGGAAAATTTTACCCACAACACTAAACAAACGCTCTACAAGGGCCAATGATGCAGGAATGGTACTCAGTCTTCTTGGTGTAGGTTTCATAATAAACTCTCTGCAACAGAAATTTTAAAAAAGTGTCAATTGTACAGTATGCTTTATACAGGTGTTAAAACAGGTGTGAAAACAATAAATTTTTATATGGGAATTCAAAGAGACAATAGACTTTACAAAGAAATTATCAATTTTTTTTACAAACACTTCAACAGTATGCATTATAATATAGACACATTGTCTATCACCATACAAAATAACTGTTGCATATAATTAAAATATGGTAATATGCATCTGACATAAACTCTAGAATATACAAAGTAAAGAAGTAATCTACAGTGTTTGAAACTTTTTAAAACATGGTTTAACCAAAATATGTAAAACAAAATTTAACATACCTTTATGTGGGTAATGAAATTTGAATGTGACTTAGTGTCTCCATTTATCTTCTTAGGGCACAATTTGCACTGTGCTGTCACATTTCCAGATGTTTCTTTAGGAAATTCAAAGACATCATAAATCCAATGATTTGACATTTTGGTAAGAATACCAGCCAAACAATGATGTCTATCTTTCAGTTAGAATTTGTTAACTGTATGGATTAAAACTTATTTCTTCATTGTGAGTGATGCCTTAAAATGTCTCACTTGATATTTTACTACCTTAGTTAAACTGTAACATGTGAAATAAATCATTTGAATTTCAATAGTTTCATGTAAAATCTGAAAGTAATCAACGTCAATCAAATTGTAATCATAATTACAGACTGAATTTAAGCTGTAATTGATTAATTACAATTAATGTAATCAATTTTGAGCATGGTAATCAATTACATGATGATTACAGTGTAATCATGTAATCAATTAAAAAATCGATGATTACGATTAGTGATTACCCCAGGTCTGATCAAAACATCCGCACTTCTAGGTAGTCAAGCCTCCTATAAAGTTAAAATGAATTCCTATCCGCAGTTTTCAATTAATAACCTTGATAAACAATGTGCAATTCAGAGACAAAAAGATGAATACATGACTACATGCATCTTTTCTGGATAGCCTATACATGACATCAAGGACTTTGACAAAATTTATTTGCTTTTCGGTCTCCAGCCCATGCAAAAAATATAATGTATAATACACAAATATTTGTTATTGTTACAACATTTATCATATGATCATATAATTTGCAGAAATTGTTTATGATATGCTACATTAGGCAAGCCTTAAAATTATCTTGTTTCCCATCCTGCGACCCACACAAGATTGAATAGTGTAGGTATGTTGATAAAATATTATTTTTTTTAAATCCAAAATACATGTTGTTTTTATCAAAATCATATGGAGTTCAAACAAATTGTGAATGTTTAGCAAATGAATGTTTAAAGGATAGAATTTTTTAAACATATATCCCAGTTTGTATATCTACAATTAAAAACAACAACAACATGGGACAGATATAATAAAGATGTGATGTTCATTGAAACTCTCTGCTTCCATGTTTAGTAATAAAACAAATATTATTTTATTTTTGACAATAGATTATTTTTGGTAGCTGTGATTTTTGTGGGTAGGTAGCAGGAGGGGAAACAAACAATAATTTATTTACGGCCTAAACAGCCTACCTGGTTGTGGAAGCATGGGCTATTATATTTCCTCCAATTGGTTTCTTAGGATCTGCGGAAAACATTGCAGCACCATCAACTTGTGCTACAACTTGATTTGTTATTACCACAGCCACACCAAACTAAAACAGAACATAAACATCTATTAATATACTAGATAACTTTATCTCCTCATGAAAATTTAAAGGCCTATTATGCCTCAGAAATGATATGAGCCACGCCATGACAAAATCAACGTAATGCGTTTGTGACCAGCATGTATCCAGACCAGCCTGTGCATCGGCGCAGTCTGATCAGGATTCATGCTGTTCGCTATCAGTTTTTTTACTTGTTATAGGGTCTGTAAGCGAAAAGCATGGATCCTGATCAGATTGCGCGGCCATGCAGGCTGGTCTGGATACATGCTGGTCGCAAATGCATTATGTTGGTTTTGTCAATGCGCAACTCAATTATTATTTCTATTTCTTAGAAGCTTTTTATTTTTGTTGTCCTGTTATACTGTATAAGTGAAAAATTTTGCGACATGGGAATATTTGTAATTTTTGCGAAATGAAATTATTTGCAAATATTTGATCATGCAAAAATTATTGCTGTTTAGGCAAACATTCTTCTATCATGTTTTCAATCAGCATCTACATTTGTAACATACATAAGTTTGACTGTTCAGGTACTGAGATTATTTTTTCTCATTGCTTGTTTGTTTAACTTTAGTCTTAATATATCACAAATGTTTTAATAAAACAATATACTAGTATGTGTTAATAACGCTAAAGGGTTTTCATATAACAGACTTTTTCAAAATATGACAAAGAAATGTGTGATCAGGTCCTTTATCAAACTAACAATGTGTATTTCAAACAATTATATAAATAATAAAGTATTGAACAACTGAATAGAACGATTACAATAATGGCATATACTTAACATATCAGAAAAATAGTATTAAATTCAAGAAATCAAATTTTCGCAAATATTTTCGCACGCAAAAAAGTCCACTTTTTGACATTCGCAAAATTTTTGTGACGCATAAAAAAGTTTGATGCAGATCAAATCAAAATAATGGTCAATCTTCTGAAATCATATACATGTAGCTTGTTTAGCTAAACAAGAACTGTTGTGAGAAGCAGACAAAAAATGCCCCAAAGCAGGGCCCAGTTGACAGATATTCTTATACAATGTGAAACATTGTTTTCTAAAACTGTTGTCATGCAAACTTGACAAAACATGCTTGTATTGAGTGTTTCAGGTGCAATAACTCTTAAACAAATGACTGGATCAGACCTTACACACAGCTGATAAGAAGGCTCTCTATCATATTAAAGCAGATAGAAAAGCAAAATAATACCTCATCTGCTAATCGGAGCAACATCCGGAGAAATCTGGCAAGATGCATTTGTCTGGCAGAGAGTTCCCCTCTCCCTGAATAATCTGTTCTGTACAGAGCTGTGGCACTATCAACAATTAGCAATGCATACCTGCAAATATTATATAACCTAATGAACACAAGTAACAAAACAGGGGTGCCTATTACATCAATATGAAGTCTGGATAGCCTGCTGAGTCAAGTTAACAAATATAAGTTGAATCTAATTGTAACCCTCACTGTATACTTTATTTTGAAAATTGTGAGATTACAGTACTTTAAAGCTAATGTATTTTGTTTTTTTTTTTTGGATAAAATATTTAGTTACCTCGCATGATTGTAATCTTTGTTAAATTTGTTTAAATTCTACAATTCTCAAAATATGTGATGCAGGTTTACAATTTCTTTTGTCCAGTGTACTATTGGTTATATAATATTAGTTTCAAAATCCCTTAAACTACAGGTAGATTCAAATGAACAATTCAAAAAGCAAAGAAAGACAAGTCCATTATAAAACCTTTGTATATAATAAGGGCATTTTTTTTTATACCAAAATTGGGGTCCTGGGCCTATTTGGCGCAAAACAGCATTGTATTATGCGAAATAATGAAAAAAGAAAGACATTCTGATTTTTATTTTTTGATCCTAAAGTCATTCTAATTTTTATTTTTTTTATCCTAAAGTCAAAGCAATGATACTACAGTTAGTTTTGAGTGGAGAGTCTTTAAGTATAATATTTTCCATTTGGCAACATGACTTTCAAACAGGATATCAATAACCCTTGAACATGCATGCTTACATCATTCAATTGTTAATTCCGCTTCACAACGGTGCTTATACCAGTACTTGCTTTTGGTAAACAAAATATTTACAATGTTGTTATCATTATAAAATCAAGTTTATTGGAAACACTGAACATGAACCATAAAATTTGCTCCTTGTTAATTGTGAATTTTCATATACATTGTGAACTTTTTTCCACAACTTTGTGAAAAACCACAACATTTTGAATTGTGAAGGGCCCTTAGATCGGGCCTCTTTTATATAGCAAATAATAAATGGTTAATGAAAAGGCATTCATCATTTACTGATTGCCAATCCCAAACTTATAATTTCCTGTTTTTGAAGAATGTAGTCTCAAAACATTAATTTTTGTAATTGTAAGTGTTAAAAGATATTAACAAACATATCAAACATGGGTATCAATTTCCTGTAAACAGTTAGCACAAACAAATGTATAACTATCCTGGAACATAACAACTATTTGTTGAAAACAAGAGCTGGTTGAATCCAGTGATGCTCCCCTAATAGATTTTGGAAACTGGAAAGTAAACATCTTGTAGTGTCAGAGTTATGTCACAGACAAAGTTCAAAGTTTAAAAATGAACAAAGGGCAATAACTCCAAAAGTAGGCAAGGCAAAGTTAAGGTTCTTTTACACTGCACTTCTATTTAATGAGATCAATCTACCTACAAAGTTTCATGTTGATATCTCTAATGGTTTCAGATTGATGTCCCGTACAAAGTTCAAAGCTGCAGAAAGTAAAAAATAGTATTAGTCATTGGAAAAAAAAGGGTAATAACTCCACAAGGAACAAGAGCTGTCACAGGAGACAGCGAAGCTCGACTAATAAAATACTGGACGCAGTAAGGAGGACAAACTATGAAAGAAAAATCTATTATGTATAATTATGTATTAAGTTATAGTAAAAAAATAACATTTGTTAACATAAATTCCAAGATCAAGGGGAATAATTCTAGAAATAGTCATGCTAGAGTTATGGACCTTGCCACACAACATTTGTGTAATGATAAGAAATATATATTTGAAGTTTGAAGTAGATACCTTAAAAAATAAAGAAGTTATTATATTTCTTAAAGAAAATCCTAAGTTCAAAGAGTGATAAATCTGTAAATATTGCTTCAAGAGTTATGAACATTGTCACATAAAATGTAATTGATGATAAGGAATAAGTATTTGAAGTTTGAGGTAGATACCTTTAAAAATAAAAAATAACATTTTTCTAGTAAATTAATCTAAGTTTATGGGGAGATAATTCTTGCAATATTGGTGCTAGAGTTATGAACCTTGTCACATAAGATGTGTATGATGATAACGTAAATATATTTGAAGTATGAAGTTGATCCCCTTAGAAATAAATAAGTTAGAGTAAAAAATAATATTTTGTATGGAAAATTCTAAGTTCAAAGGGAGATAAATCTGAAAATATTGGTGCTAGAGGTATGAACCTTGTCACATAAGATGGGGATGATGATAAGGTACATATATTTTAAGTATGAGGTTGATACCTTAAGAAATAAAGAAGAAATAGTATTTTTTGAGGAAAATTCTAAGTTCAAGGGGAGATAAATCTAAAAATATTGGTGCTAGAGTTATGAACCTTGTCACATAAGATGGGGATGATGATAAGGTACATATATTTTAAGTATGAGGTTGATCCCTTAAGAAATAAAGAAGTATCAGTAAAAAATAGTATTTTTTAAGGAAAATTCTAAGTTCAAGGGGAGATAAATCTGAAAATATTGGTGCTAGAGTTATGAACCTTGTCACATAAGATGGGGATGATGATAAGGTACATATATTTGAAGTATGAGGTTGATCCCTTAAGAAATAAAGAAGTATCAGTAAAAAATAGTATTTTTTAAGGAAAATTCTAAGTTCAAGGGGAGATAAATCTGAAAATATTGGTGCTAGAGTTATGAACCTTGTCACATAAGATGTGGTTGATGATAAGGAACATATATTTGAAGTTTGAAGTTGATACCTTAAGAAATGACAAAGTTATAGTGAAAAATATTTTACTGCACCAAAACTTTAATCTAAAATCTGGACGCGGACGCCGGGGCGAGTAGGACAGCTCTCCATATACTTCGTATAGTCGAGCTAAAAATCGCTGTTGTTAAGTGAATATTGCTTCCTTATTTACTCATTGTTTTACAAGCCTACCTACACCTAATACTTCTTTTTTGAAAAAACATAATGACTTATTTTATGATTTTATATGGGAAGGTAAGGCAAAAATAAAATAAAACAATCTGTAATCACTAAATAGTATAAAGAAGGCAATCTTAACATGGTAGATATTAGTAGTAATGTTCATTCTTTAAAAACAAGGTCATGCTGTGACCTTGACCTTCAAGGTAGCGACCCAAATGTTGTGAGCACATTGTCTCAATATGGTGATCATTTATGTGAAATAGTTATAAAGGTCGACTTCAAATAACGAAGTTATGGGCCAGACAAGGTCATGCTGTGACCTTGACCTTCAATGTAGCGACCCAAATGTTGTGCTTGACACATGGTCTCAATATGGTAACCAACGCTGGAAAGCGTTTGAATCTATCTCAATCCACTGAGAATTTGCAGCACTTTGAAATCAGTTTTGATGGAAAATTCAACATAAAAAAGTGATATCTGGCAATGGTTTTAAGAAATGGTTTTAAGATGCCCACTTGTTGCCATGGTAACAGGAAATTTAAGATTGAGTATGCCATTACAAAGCTATGGTCAGTCAATATTTGTGCCAAGTTTGTACAGTATTGAAGCCTTCTTAATAGTTTCATAGCACTTTGAACTTGTAAGAGCCATTTCAATGAAAACAGCCATTTTTCACAAAATGCTCATGAAGTAATGGGTGAAAAGAAAAAAAGAAAACCGCAAAGCTTAAAAGGACTCAACTGAGGTATTTTGACATGAGAGAACTAGAAATATTTTTTCGAATTTTTTCTATCAATCGATGTAGGTCTAGACCAGTTGTGTGCATATTTTAAGCTTATTGCCTCTCTCTGTTTTTCCAGAATGTTAATTTCTATAGTACAAAAGAAACCCTACAAGAGCTGTCCGTAAGACAGCGCGCTCGACTTTTTTATTGCTTGCCAATAAAAAAAGTTTTTGCAGTAAAAGGCAATACAAGAATCTCTGTATTTTTAAAGTGAACAATGGCCATGAGCATTAAGATATTTAGTGAAGAATTATTTTACTGAATTGTGTGATACCCTTGAACACTGCAGCAAAGTTTGAAATGTTTAAGTCAAAACATTGACAGTTAAGGGCCATAATTCAAATAAAATCTTTGACAGAATTACCTTCTCCTGGACATGTTTGGGAATCATGATTGTAAACAAGTATTCCAACTTTCAAATTAATATCTCAAACAGTTCAGTCAAAAAGTGGACTGGTACTAAAAACTTAACCAAGATTCTAAGTCGATAAAAGGCCTTAATTTTTAAAACAAATCCTTGACAGAGTTACCTTCTCTTGCGTACAGATGGGGGTAATGATGTGAAATAGCATTAAAAGTTTCAAAGCAATATCTCAAAGGGTTAAGGCAATAAGTGGATTTTACCCATATTCAATGTATTTTCTAAGTCAAAAAGGGGCATAATTCTGTCAAAAACCTTGACAGAGTTATGTCCTCTTGTCTGTTGATGAAGGTCGTGATGGTAAACAAGTATGGTCAGTTTCAAAGCAATACCTCCAATGGTTTTGAAATAAAGTGAGGTGGTACAAAAAACTTAACCAAGCTCAATACACTTTCTAAGTCAAAAAAGGGCCATAATTCTGTCAAAAACCTTGACAGAGTTATATACTCTTGTCTGTAGATGGAGGTTATGATGGTGAACAAGTATGGTAAGTTTCAAAGCCATACTTGTAATACTTCTGAAATAAAGTGGGGTGGTACGAAAAACTTAACCAAGGTGTGACGCCAACGCCGACGCCGGGGCGAGTAGGATAGCTCCCCTTTTCATAGAAAAGTCGAGCTAAAAATGAAGTGTTTTTTTGCTCAAAACCGGCTAAGAATTGTATTGATAAATCATTTTAGTCGAAGTATATTTCTTAGTTATCCTTTGCATATTTGTCCATTTTAATTGTTTCACTTAAACATATTGATATACATGTATTTATAATACTTTCTATAATTAGTTTGTTATCACATTTGAATACATTCCAAAAATTAAATAATCGTTTAAATTATGGCCTGGTATAAAATATGTTCCCATTTTCTTTACCAGACAAAGAATCTGCAGAAAAAATCTCATGCCCAATATACAGAGTCAAGTAGGACTGCCCCACTACTCTTATATGGTCGACCTAGAAAATGGTCAATCAAAAACACGTTACCTTGATTCGGCCATCATAGCAGCTGCTTGTATAAGAAGTTGTGACTGATGGTCACTGTTGTAAGCCCTGGCATAAGCTACATTATCCAACACATCACTACCAGATAACCCATACCTAGCAAATACATTTACATGTTTGAACGATTGTATTCAACCAAAATATATGATTCTTTTCTTTAAACAATGAGATGCAATCAAAATATGTAAGAACAATTTTTGTTCTTTTACACTTTAATTTAAACAAGAGCTGTCACAGGAGACAGCCAAGCTCGACTAATAAAATACTGGACGCAGTAAGGAGGACAAAACTATGAAAGAAAAATCAATTATGTATAATTATGTATTAAGTTAAAGTAAAAAAATAACATTTGTTAAAATAAATTCCAAAATAAAGGGAAATAATTCTAGAAATAGTCACGCTAGAGTTATGAACCTTGTCACACAACATGTATGTAATGATAAGAAGTATATATTTGAAGTTTGAAGTAAATACCTTAAAAAGTAACAAAGTTATAATATTTCTTAAAGAAAATCTTAAGTTCAAAGAGAAATAAATCTGTAAAAATTACTTCAAGAGTTATGAACATTGTCACATAAAATATAATTCATTATAAGAAATAAGTATTTGAAGTTTGAGGTAGATACCTTTAAAACTAAAAAAGTTATAGTAAAAATAACATTTTTCTAGTAAAAAAATCTAAGTTGATGAGGAGATAATTCTTGCAATATTGGTGCTAGAGTTATGAACCTTGTCACATAAGATGTGGATGATGATAAGGTACATTTATTTGAAGTATGAAGCTGATCCCTTGAGAAATAAATAAGTTACAGTAAAAAAAAATATTTTTTAAAGAAGTTCAAGGGGAGATAAATCTGAAAATATTGGTGCTAAAGTTATGAACCTTGTCACATAAGATGAGGATGATGATAAGGTACATATATTTGAAGTATGAGGTTGATCCCTTAAGAAATAAAGAAGTAACAGTAAAAAATAGTATTTTTTAAGGAAAATTCTAAGTTCAAGGGGAGATAAATCTGAAAATATTGGTGCTAGAGTTATGAACCTTGTCACATAAGATGGGGATGATGATAAGGTACATATATTTGAAGTATGAGCTTGATCCCTTATGAAATAAAGAAGTAACAGTAAAAAATAGTATTTTTTAAGGAAAATTCTAAGTTCAAGGGGAGATAAATCTGAAAATATTGGTGCTAGAGCTATGAACCTTGTCACATAAGATGTGGTTGATGATAAGGAACATATATTTGAAGTTTGAAGTTGATACCTTAAGAAATGACAAAGTTATAGTGAAAAATATTTTACTGCACCAAAACTTTAATCTGAAATCTGGACGCGGACGCCGACGCCGGGGCGAGTAGGACAGCTCTCCATATACTTCGTATAGTCGAGCTAAAAACTTACTGAATTGAACACTGAATAAATAAAGACCAAGCAATGATTTATAACTAATATTGACATAGGTCACAATGGCAATTTCTTACAAATCTAGCAAATGAGACAGCATTTTACCTGCCTTACATGTTAACTATAAAATCACACTTATGTCTTTGTTATTACTCTATATTAAGTATACTGATTCTATATTAAGTGCACTCTACTTAGCACCTAGTAAGCAAAGTAACATGGCAATTTTTAGACATCTAAGTTTTTTAATTTGACACTAAATCATGTTTTAGAATCTTTCTATTGTCCCTATTTTTAGGTCATACATGTACATTTGTACTGCTTACAAATAACAAATTTTGATATCTCTGTAAATATCTAGATAGAACATTTTAAATTACAGACAGTTTAAGTGGTATGATCTCTAATGGACACATTTTCTAAAAGCATATCAAATACTGGTTAAAAAAAAATTGAAATGTATCACTTGGATATTCTTATCCTTAACAGAAATAAGTTATTAAAGTTGTAAGCGATTTAGTACGCTCACTTATGTGGTGAATAATAATAAATTGTTCTAAAACACTTTAGTATCTGCTGAATAAATGTATGTTATATTGGATCATAAACCTCAAAATTGCCAAAAACATGAATATATAATTCTTTCTGTATTTGTTTTTATGCTTGACACTCAATACTATCAACAGATGTATTTATGGCATTACAGACCTTCCATTCTTTAAGAACAAACAATATTTAAAGGGAACTAACTATATAATTTTTTCCATATTCAAGTTCTATTGGTTTCTCTCCCTTAGTAAATACTTTTTTCTCAGCTTCAATGGTGCTTATTTAAAGGGAAATAACTATAAATATTTTTCTCCTAATGAAGTTCTAATGGTTTCTCTCCCTTAGTAAACACTTTTTTACTCAGCTTGACAATGAAAATATGTGACAATGACCCACATGATATTTATAGTCACCTTTCTGCAACAGCTAGCAGTCTCTCTGGTCTGAATGTACCTTCTGTGTCTACATATAAACATTTTCCTTCACCACCACCCATATCTATAGGTAACTAAAGAAAATAAAAGCTGACAATTTAAACTGAGAAGCAAGATGATTTCTCCAAACCATTTTGAAAATATTGACAGGGAAAATTTTGTTGCAAAATATTTATTGAAAGTAATGAAAAACTATTTAAAAAACAAAAAGATTTATTCTTTTGTAATAACCTTTATATTATTAGTTATAAAGATTGTAGATAGGTTATATGGCCCTAAATAAATGGTTGTTTGTAAAACAAACAGCAGTTCATATTCGGCCATATAACCTGTCAACAATCTTAATAACAAATTTATAATACTGCCAACTTCCTTTTTTAGAGAAAAAAAAAAGATTTCTTTATAAATTGACAGCAGCCGTGAACATAAAACTATATAAACGTCATGATTATCCAATGAAAAGTGATGTTACAAACATGCAGTATTATTAGTTATATTGGTATGGTCTCCTAAGTTTTTAGGGACTCCCCTTAAGTTTTTTGACGTGTTGGGCCTGAAAATATTTTTACAAGATAGGGTACCAATTTGTTTTAGTCTTCTCAAACAACTTGTGTGCACATTTTCAACTCATTCCATCTTCTTGTTTTTTCCAGAATAATAATTTTTATTGTAGAAAAAAGGCCCAAAGATGAAACATGTTGCAATACTTTTCACTCAAATCTGACTAATAATCGCAGAAAAATCAATTTTTAATTTAATTCTGAGTTTATTTCTTGGTTATCCTGTGCAGAATTTTCCATTCAAAGTGCTTCACTTGATGTTCGTTAGATTTTCAAGTTTTTGGAGTGTGATGCCGACACCTAGGTGAGTACAACAGCTCTCCCTATTCTTTGAATAGTCAAGAAAGAAACAACATGAGTTGTTTTCTGCATTTAGCTTGTACATAGACAATAGAAATAAGATTTTGGGAGTTTTCTTTAGTCTCCATAAAGCACACATCATGCGGGTTATATAACAAATAGCAGTCCACACAAAGTCATAATTTATGGCAATAATACCTTACTTGTTGTGAAATTAGCATCAAAATTGGTAATTTTTTAATTCTATTCTTACAACATACATCTAAGAAGTACAGGATAAGTGAAAACAATCTTCCTGACTAATGGCATTCTCAGAACTTAAAAACCATTTTTGTTTACATAAAAACCGTAATTACAATAACACTGTCTCATCATTGTCTGCGACATTTCTTACTCCCGGAATCCAACTTAACTGAAATTGAAATTATAGTAATTTATCAAGTCAATTGATGAGATGTTATGTCAGTTGGCAAAAAGTGTCGACAAAAATATATACCTGACATGTTACTGCAAGAGTATGACAAAGTTGTGTTTTTCCTGTTCTGAATTCACCAAATATCTCAGTTATAGAACCCGTCTCAATACCACCTGTAAAAACAGTAACATTTTTTTAGAAAAAAAACACGGCTTTCTTTACAATTATATATTCATTTATAAATAGTTTTTCTACTTTTTGTACAAATTAATTAACGAAAACAGCTTTTTCTTACAAGTATGTGAAATGAAATACTGGTATACTGTATGTGTAGAAATATTCGCGGTCTTCAAATTTTCGCGATATTCGCGGTGACAGTCGATCCGCGAATTCATGTTCAGCGCGAATATTTCTACAGCAATAATTTCTTAATAGACATATTTTCGCGCATCTATAGATCATTGTATATCAGTGTGTTCACGGCTGCCATAAGTCTGGTAACCGTGGCGCTCCATAGAGTGATTTTACTGTTGTATAAACTGTACATGTAACATTCTATATATACATGAGTTTGCAAGTGTATTATTGTTTGACTGATATGATTATAGGTTTCTTGCATAAGTATGTTTGAACAATACCATTGAATCACGCTTTTTATTTCATAGTCTGAGTCATAAACGTCTTGACATCTGATCAGATTATATTTTGTTTAACAACACAAACTAACAAACAACACAAACATTAACGATTTTAACTGATGAAAACATGGAAAACTAAACACAATTACTTAGTCAACGTTTTAACAAAATCAGTGAAAATATTATGGTCTCATTCAGTGCTGTTTTAAACTGTGAAAAATCACGCTCGTTAACGGACATTCTCTTGTTTGCCATAATCTGTCCGCTAGACAAATTGAATTGAATGTCTTTGTTCTATACAATAGGGTATTGTTTGACACCAGGTGTTGGAAATAACTGTGAAGTCCAACAACGATTACAGTAAAAGTAAAAATGAAAGAAGGCTGCTTGCGAAAACCATACCCTAATTGTGTAAGAATAATTTTTCTTATTTTTTTAACCTGATGGGTGTACGCGAATTTATGATTTTCGGCAGTCACCTCCGCGAATTCAAAATAGCGCGAATATTTGTATATACCCCCAAAATAGACCTTTCCGCGAAAATTTGCTTCCGCGAATTTAAATACACATACAGTATTTAGAAAATAAGTACAAAACCTAAGATTTATTTCATAAAAAGTCATTTGTATTAAAAGTAATAACTTTTGTAATGAAACTTAGGTGAAAGATAAATTTGTGTAATATACTCTTAAAAATTCTTTTATTGCTTATCCCACTTCCCAAATTATTGCTTTTTCCCCTCTTCTTTAAATACATGTATATTCTGTCACTAGACCTGTTTTTAATAGCTAGATAATAAATTCATTCTTTTTTTTCCCCACTAAGGTTCATGCACCTAATTTTCCCAACTGGGCAGACCCACTTTCTTTTCAAAATTGGTGAACAAAACCAAACGACATCAATAACAATTGAGTTAAAATTTAAATTACACTTCAAGTTACAACAGAGAAAGCAAATAAACAATACATAAACCATATGATGTATGCAAATATTAACATTATATGCAAATATGTAACCATTAACATTAAAGATTTTCGATTCTCTTTGAACAAGCAATTATCATAGTATTGCAAGCAATCCATAAGTCCCCTACCGGTTAGAACCCCATCAACATTCTGAAGGGCCATTCACTAATGTTTCAATTTTTCTCTATTTTAAGTAAATTTGTTGGAAAAGTTCTTTAAAAGTGATCACAGGAAACAGCTTTTATGAACAGACAGACAGACGAACTGAAGGACACTCTAAAGTTAATATTTGAAACATCCCTGTTACCAAAATATAACATTTTAAAAGCAAAATTCTTAAACAGGAGATAACTCTTGAATTAAATATGCAATTTCATAAAAATTTTAAGCTCTTTTTGACTAATCACAAATATTGTTATATTTGCCATGTTTTAAGCCTATTTGTTGCCAAGGCAACTGATATTTCTTCAAAATAGGAAGAACAGATAAGACATGCATAATCTCAAGACTGCCATCTACCCATATGTCAAGTTTCATAAAAATATTTCCAGTACTTTTTGAGTTATCACTGGATTCAGTATATGTGTAAAATTTGCCATATTTTCAGTCTATGTGTTGCCATAGCAACCAGAATTTTCGACATAGGAAGAAAAGAAAAAGACGTGCATAATCTCAAGACTGCCATCTACCCATATGTCAAGTTTCATAAAAATATTTCCAGTACTTTTTGCGTTATCACTGGATCCAGTTTATGTGTAAAATTTGCCATATTTTCAGCCTATTTGTTGCCATAGCAACCAGAATTTTCAACATAGGAAGAAAAGAAAAAGACGTGCATAATCTCCATACTGCCATCTATCCATATACCAAGTTTCATAAAAATATTTTCAGTACTTTTCAAGTTATCGCGGGATCCAGTTTTGTGGACGGACGGACTGACTGACGGACGGACAGACGGACGGACAGACGGACGGAGGGTAAACCTACAGTCCCCTCCGGTAAACCGGTAGGGGACTAAAAAGATTGATAAATTTAATAATATCTCCAATCTTTTTTCAGGAAATGCTTTTTCACCACTACAAGTACAAGATGGCACAAAGTTATTAAAGAAAGTGTCTTGTTACCTTGTAATAATTTGTCTAGTTCTTTAGACCCAGATGTTACTTGGATAATCTCTGATCTTTTCTGGTGGAATTCTGTGGCTGTTGTGAAACCCATTGGAACAAGTTTAGCTGCTTCAGCCTATGTAATAAACACTTGTAATAAGAAAACAACAAAAACAATAGAAAGACTTAGAAAATGTGAAATGCTCATTGGCATATTGTTTATATTATCATTCTGAAAGTTTATTCAGAACAATTTTTGAAAGCATTCTCAAATAATGTTAGTCATATTCTAAAGGGCAACAACCTAAGGAGTATTCCTGAATTTTATTCTCGTTAAATATACAGCATTCCAAATGTAAGATTGGTAATCTAATCTTCACAACTATCTCTACATACACATAATTATTGTCAAATTATAAAACTATTCGGATGAATGAGACAAAACAGTTTATTAAAAATGTCTTTAATGTGCAAATCCAACATTTGCATTATAATGGACCATTCCAGTTTTATGTAAGTTGGCTGGACAGCTATCAAATTACTAAACTGTAATAATACATAGTCATTAGTTGACATGGTTGAAACAAAAGAACACAAATGGAATGGTTTTGTTTATGATACTGTTTACGAGCAATGAGTAGGAAAAGCATGGCTAAATTATTCACTGCTATATTAAAGGTCCATGGTCAGGCCACTGAATTTACTATGGGTGAAAGGCCTGAACACATAATGTCCTCGCCTCTGGCTTGCAAACTGGAAAAACTTTTAACAATTAGAAATCATGTTCTTTTATTCCAGACTAAAAAATAACCAAATAAAAATTTACCAGCACTTTGTCTGCTTTAGCTTCACTGATGCCTTTAATAGCCAATAAATTTTTCTTAGGTGCATAAGCTACTGACTCAACAGTATAGAAACCAGCTTCTTCCATCTTCTTAACATCTGTAGCACTGATTCCATGTGCCTTAAATAAAAGAAAGTCAACATTATTATATATAAATATTACAAACAAATATCTTAAATTGACAAGTTAATTAGAACAAAACCCACAATATTCAATGTTCAAAATCAAACGCTTAACAATTTGAAAACATCATCAGTGCCTATGTCAGTTTTTTTCCCACAGAAAGTGTAGAAACCATGTCAACCCAACAACAAACAGATTATACATCTAGTTTATTCCAAATAGTTCCACACAGTGCTCACTGTGATTATGTCTTGAAATTAAACCAGTCTGCACTATAGTGTGTTACAAATGTGGTTTTACCAAAGTCTTTAATATTGTTTGTTGCTAACTAGTGTAATTCAAATATACATTTACTAATACTTAAATGGGTATGTTTATCAACCTTACAGTATAATATAAAGTTTTGGAGATTCAAATGGGTCCATATTTTGCCCCATTTAAGACCGACATGTACACTATACAGCATTGTTTACCTCTAATCTTGAGAGTAGTAATGGACCAAATGTTTCTTCATCAGCTTCCTGGACCTGATTTGACCTTTGAGCCTGCATCTGTGCCATACTAGGTTTTTTTTTCTGAAAGTTCAAGTGAATTCAGTGTTAAAATTTTGCAAATGAAGGTTAGATTTCAATAAGCATCATTTGAACTGGAATCAATTGGACTGGACACCCGTTCCTGGAAGTAATTAATTACCAAATAGTAAAACATTCTATATTTACAGTACATATAATTTATATAAAACATTTTTCTTTCAAAATGAGCACTTGACAATGCATCAAAAGAATCACAGAATTAATTCTTTAATGATGTCAGAAAGTTGTCAGATGTCATAATATCCACACAGTCATTCCCAAAGATTGTCGGACCAACGAACCTGTCCGCTAAAAAATGAGCAGGTCCGATGAATTTTCCAATTTTGTCGGACTGTCTCTCCATTAAAAATATTAGAGTTGTCAAGTTGAAAATAGTCTTTCCTGCCAAAATGAAACTGTATTTGCTTCTGGCATGCACATAGAAGAATCAAGATAATATAAAAATCGAGAACCAGTGTCATAAGTATTCGCGAAAATTTCATAATTTATATTTCCATTTCTATTCTATAGTTGCTATAGATCCCGTATCTTGTCCAGCCACAGAGCCTTAATTTTCAACCTAGAAATCAAAGTCAAACAATTCCTCCAAATTCCACTCTGTCATTGTTAAATTTAACACTGCAATATTTGATGTGATAGGCAGAAAAACATAGTACAGTAAAAACTCTGAAAACCGGACCCTCTGAAAACCGGAATCCTCTGAAAACCGGACCATTTCAAAAGTCCCGTTTTTTCTTCTTATATGTTCATTGAAAATAAATCCTCTGAATACCGGAACCTCTGAATTCTGAAAACCGGACGATTTTCTATGGTTTCTAATGCTAAACATGCATAAAAATCCTCTGAAAACCGGACAGCAATTTTAAGTGTCAACTTTCTGTGTATTTTAATGTATATTAAAACATAATCTCAACAGGTGACATGTTTAATGACCAGGTAATGATCACCATTTTTATCTATGCAGGTGTGAAAACACTTGTTAGTGTGTGCTAATTTCTTATTGGCAATTAAATTATTGCTCTTCCATTACAATTGTGCCTTTCCCTGTATAGGTTTGATTTTTCTAAATGTTTTAAATTTGTTAAATATAAAATGTCTAAAAAGAATTGGGACACTTTTGTAAAATGATTCCTGCTTTGCTAAAAAAATGATATTTGTTTCGATATTTATTATATGCAAACATAGTAATACTAAATTGTATTAATAACATATTTCAAAAGCCAATTAAAAAGATGTGTTGTTTTAATTTCTGATTTTCTGAATTATATTCATGGATTTGCATAATGAAATCACTTAAGACAAATATTGCTTAAAGAAATTAAAATATGACTTACACAAAAGTGTTAAAAAGTAAATACAAAATGTTTGAACAAAGTCATAGTTCAATCACATCATAATTATCAATTAAAGTATAAAACCTCTGAAAACCGAAAACCTCTGAAAACCGGACTTTTGGTCAAGTCCGGAGAGGGTCCGGTTTTCAGAGTTTTTACTGTATAACCACATTAGCAATATTCATTCAAATTTGTTTTATATTCATATATGGACTTGTTCACAAACATGGAAAGATGTTTTCTTAAATTATTATTACATTTTTGGTAAAAGAAGAATTTTCAATGATTTGGGCAATAAAAACTTATTACAAGCCATCCTTGTGACATTGAAAAATATGTTACATGTTAATAAATGCATTATAGTGGAACCCCATTGTATCATGCAATTCATCTATTCACTTTGCAAAATGCGCCACCTACTGATTATTTACATTTGTAAGTGTCACGTCAAAATCTCGCTTTTGTTTTTTTGCAGTAAAAATTATAAAATATATGTTTCCAGTACTCTAAGTCATATATTGTAGATAATAAATAGAGATGTAAATAGTGTGTTCTTGTTAAAGTTACATTCACTTTCTATTAAAAAATTCCTTACTTTATGTTGACATTTTAAAAACAGACATCTTTGTTTCAAATGGACTTAAAGTCTAACTTAAAGATGGTTCAAGCTTTCTAAACTTTGACTTGTTTGTTTGTTTTATTTTTCGCCTTTTCCCCAACAGCATTTCAGTCATATAGGCGGGTAGTTTCCTAACCATCGTTCCTGGAAAGTTACATCAATACTAGACTACCTTCCTCCGCGCTAAACTATCAAAGCATCTCCCGGGGATCGAACCCACGCCAGAGAGGTAACTGGATTAGTAGTCATCAACTCTAACCCCTCGACCACGGAGGCGGTATTAACAGAGCAACGATATAATGATGTGACCTAATTTTTCAACCTGTTTGACATGGCTGCCAATATCTGTATATTCAAAGCTAAAGACTGTCTATCAGTGATGTTTGCCATGTAAATATTATGACAAAAAGACCAAAATATATGACAGGGATCACCTTTCTAGGCAACTTGGGCAACAAAGTTGCCTTGTCTCTCACCATTTCATCCGGATCGCTTAGAAAAGCGAAAACAAAGTCGCCCTAATTTTCGCTAAACGCTTGCTATAAATTTTGAAGAATTAACCAGCTCAGTTTCGTTTACACTCTTCCTATTTCAAACCGATTTGTTAAACACATTTTCAATGGTCGGTTAAATTGGAAAGCCAATGAAACGCGGCGAGACAATTTAGCAAGTGTTGGAATTGAACGGTTGACATCTTCAGGTATTCTCCAATGCCGACTTATTATCAATAAACAACACTTAAACATATTGGCAGCGATTCATGTCAATTAGGATAAATTGGGGGCATACTTATTGCATTAATTAGTTGGTAAGTTTAGTGATCTTATTCACAAATTTTCTCTTTACAAAAGCGTGTCGCTAAAAGTGTTGGTCACTTGTATGTTTTGATGTTTACAATTGTCTCAGCAATTTGGTAAATGGGTCTCTGTTATAAATGTTGGTGATGATTTATCCCTTGATATATTATTTTTTAAAAGAACTTTTATTAGAACGTTTACAAGTAAACAAACAATAAAACACTGATGTCTCTTGCTAGCTTGTTAACAAGAGGGGGCGAAAAACCCGGCAAACAGTAATGCATTATGCAGAAAAAGTCCGCCGAAAAAATACCATCAGTATTCTGTACACACGTAACCTTTTCTTAAAAAAAAAAAGAAGATCCACATAAACCTTATTAAGTATATATGAACTTGGACACTGCACTGCCTATTAATATTTCTTGGGGAAATATTGAAAATGATGAAATAAAAGGGCCTACTAGTGATTTACTAAAATAAATTGTTTTCTTTTATTTCAGCACATCACCTGGCTGCAGCATTAAAATCAGAACAAGCTACACAAAACCTATGATAAAGATAATATAGAAGAAAAAAAAGACTGCCACATTTGTAATTTTGCTGTTTATTGTTATGAGTTACTTAATAAACTGTTATGTACTCCACCAAATGTTGGTCAATCATAAAACTAAGTATTAAATGGAACATCAACATTTAAAAAAAATGCAGTTCATATACACTTCTCCTTGTCCCCAAAAACTTCTCCCTATCTTCACTGGAGGGAGAAGTCACTTCACCCTAAATTTTAGGGCTTGCGTGATCCCTGCATGATACAAAATAAAGATTCAGGAAGGTTTAAATTTCTTAATTGCAGTTGTGATCTATCAGTAACTAGATGGATACAAAAGGTTCCAGGCTACATGTTGTTTTATTTATATAAGATAAAGAACAAATACCAATCAATTACCATGTGTTTGTTAAGGGTAGTGATTAATCAGGTGATAAACTGATAATTATGATTGACACAATCATTCAAATTTGATTAATCAGGCATAGAAATTTCCATTTGTCCGCTTGTATTTACGAGTAGCAGGGTTCTCGGGGACGCTTATTTCGGCGTCCCGGTACGCATGTCTATTACAGCTGGACGCAAATATTTCAGAGCAAGGATTCCGCGCAAGCTTAATTTTGCCTGGGGACGCATAAACATTACCGATTGTTTACAACCATAAATACACAAATACGTCATCGCGTGTCAGTCTATAGGTAGGCGGTCCTATGCACATCGACCAGTGAAGCGATTAGCCAATCAGCGATAACGCTTTCGATCATTATCAAGTGATAGAGATCAGACTATACACGCACTTTACACGTAATTACCAGATATAACACGAGGTGATAATTTTTTATCTTTGTCCAACAGTTGATTGGAATTTAGCAAATTTTACCGACAAAAGAATTAACTTTTAACTATTTACGCCGCAAGTTTTAAAACTGTTTACTCACATTACAAATGAGTGTAATTTTAAATTATTGTCAAATATTTTTCGGCATTTTCTAGGCACAATTTTACTAAAGTTTCATTCTTGCAAAAAAGTTCTATAAGAGTATTAAGATTAAGAATTTAAGATAGTGTGCTGAAATGCCAAGACAACAAACCAAAATACACATACGCTTTTCTTTGATTTTTAGATTCTATCCGAAAATTGATCCCGAACATTATCGATTTTACGTTCGCCAGAAACCCTCAAATTTCACAAAGGGCACAAAAATTCTCAGTTTCCAAGCTAAATATGTGAATGACTTGTTCCTTTGTTATTTAATCAACATTAAATCTTTAAATATCGATCTTCAATTTGCCCCCTTTTGAAGATATTTGCTAAAATAATTGTCGATCGGATGAATCTCTTACACACTGTGTGAAGATGTACATGATTTTCCTATTCATTCCGCTAAACGCTGCCTATATACATTTACGTTTTTTTTTGTTTTTGTTTTTTTACAAATATAAACTTTTGGTCTTAAGAGTGGACCTATTTTACCAGAATAAAATTTGATTTGGTATAAAAGTGAAGTTGATGCATTATAATTTTATTGTTTCATATAATAAATATTAACAACAAAACAATACTTATATACTATGTAGTTCAGAGTTTGTTTTGAATTACTATAAACTTTGAAAGTCTCTTGAAGATTCAAAATATCAGCAATGCTATTGTGAGCATAAAATGACTAATCTGTAAACATATTAATTGCGACGCGTTTTTGGACTCCAACTTTTTCAGGCTTGAGAGTCCATGGGCTCCATGTTGTAAAGTCCTAGTGAGAACCCTGAGTAGACAAAATGGTAGAATGCTTGTCCGGCAGGACGAGCGGAAATTTGATGATGTAATAGGAAGCTAGAATTCTCATTTATAATCATATAAAGCAAACCATGCAGGACGAGTAGAAATTTGAAGCTACTTGCTCTGTAGGACGGGCAGCTGTAAAAAATTTTTTTTATCTCTGTTAACTTAATGACCACTTGCAACGAATTAGAAGCTTATGGTAATAAGTCCTGCTTCTCATATAAATCAGAATTGATTGTTAAGCAGAATGATGTAGATAAGTTAATATGTTTCTATTTCATTGAAGATTACTTTACAAACAAAAAGCACCAAATAAACACATAAAAATTTTGCAGAAGTACAATGTTCAACTAATAATAATACACCAGCTACATGTATCTCTTATTTTTCATTTAAAACAGCTTGCCTTGAAAACATGCAAGTCATCAGATAAAGTTTATATGTTTTACGTCTGTATGTTGACCAATGCCAAGTTGACTGTGCCGAGTTGGTAGAGGGCCTAGTTGACTCTTTACCCATTTAGCTAGATTATGGTTAGAACTTAGACCTCTAGCTTCATGGAAATGCTTATTCCTTTAAATTTATAAACCTGGAACTCCTGACGTATAGAGGCGAAATTATCCCTTTTCTACAAGATTCACCATGCCATGGTCTGGTTGTTATCTCCAAATTATAGTAGATCTAGATCTATAATTTTAGGTTTCATTTCAACATTTCATATCAAAAACAAGAAACATGGCAATGCCACGAAACCAGGTTTTCAATTATCTCCATTGTAGATAAATATGTTGTATTTGAAATACAATTACAAGCAATAAACTATGTAACTATGTGCAATGTAAAACATGAATAATGTAGGAGGAATTGCCACAGAAGAAGTGTTCACTATATATTCTGTATAAGGAAAAAATATATTCTGTATAAGTAAAAAAAACAAAGGGCCATAATTAGGTCAAAAATTATCCAATCACAAAACCTCTACAATATGCGTCAGGGCACTTGATGACAAAGCTTCTGTGAAAGTTTGAACAAAATCTGTTGAGAAATGTAGGACTTGTTCAGCACAGAAAAATTTGTTCACTATATATTGATAATTCTGTATAAGGAAAAAAAACAAAGGGGCATAATTAGGTCAAATATTATCCAATCACAAAACCCCGACAATATGCGCCAGGGCACTTGATAACAAAGCTTCTGTGAAAGTTTGGTCAAAATCCGTTGAGAAATGTAGGAGAAGTTGCGCACAGTAGAAATTGTTCACTATATATTCTGTATAAAGAAAAAAACAAAGGGCCATAATTACGTCAAATATTATCCAATCACAAAACCCCAACAATATGTGCCAGGGCACTTGATAAATAAAGGTTCTGTGAAAGTTTGGTCAAAATCCGTTGAGAAATGTAGGAGGAGTTGCGCACAGAAGAAATTGTTCACTATATATTCTATATAAGGAAAAAAACAAAGGGCCATAATTAGGTCAAATATTATCCAATCACAAAACCCCGACAATATGTGCCAGGGCACTTGATGACAAAGCTTCTGTGAAAGTTTGGTCAAAATCCATTGAGAAATGTAGGAGGAGTTGCGCACAGAAGAAATTGTTCACTATATATTCTATATAAGGAAGAAAAACAAAGGGCCATAATTAGGTCAAATATTATCAAATCGCAAAACCCCGACAATATGTGCCAGGGCACTTGATGACAAAGCTTCTGTGAAAGTTTGGTCACAATCCGTTGAGAAATGATGGAGGAGTTGCCCACAGAAGAAATTGTTCACTATATATTCTATATAAGAAAAAATAACAAAGGGCCATAATTAGGTCAAATATTATCCAATGGCAAAACCCCGACAATATGCGCCAGGCCACTTGATGACAAAGCTTCTGTGAAAGTTTGGTCAAAATCTGTTGAGAAATGTAGGAGGAGTTGCGCACAGAAGAAATTGTTTACGCCCACCCGTCCGCCCGCCGACATACCTCAATCTAATAACCAGTTTTTTCCTTCGGAAAACCTGGTTAATTATCATTACACAGCAAAAAAATGGCAAGGGAATAAGATATTTCACCAGATTACCGCTAGATGCTTCTCCCCTAAAGACAAGGGGTGAAGTGTCTAAGGGGTAAATTGTCTGAGGGGCGAAGTGTCTGTAAAAATGCATTGGGGTGAAGTGTCTAGGGGATGTCAGGCAATATCCTGGATTAGACCCCGGGTAGGTAAGGTTCATTCCGTTTTATTTAGTGTATTATATACCAAGTTTTACGTCTGAAAAATACACAGGGGTCTAATCCAGGAGACTGCTGGATGTCACCAACTTGACCAAGATGAACTGTCAGCCATGAAAAAGTGCCTGATCACTCATAATTTCCACAGACACTTGGAGTATGGACCCCGCCCTTTCCCCGCCCCTGGATATTAAAAACTAAAAGTATTGTTTATTACAAGAATAAGTTTTAAATTTGTGCTAATATTAGTTTGAGACAGTTAAGTGTCTAACACATGAACAAGTTTGAATAGAATTTCATAACGTTTTAAAAAAGTCAATTTTTTTCCAACGCTTCAATTTCCTGAAGATACCAAGCTTCGAAATGTAAACACAACTGACCTACATATATTTCAGGTATTTATGTTATCGCATGCCATTTATTTCTGGTGTAAATCAGTCGATGCATATATTCCTTTAATAAATAAGAATCCGGGTCAGCTCGGCCCTAAAACATACTCGGCCCCCGAGTCAGCTCGGCCCTATTCCAACTCGGCACGGGTCAACTCGGCCCACTTTTAAAAATGGGTAAAGGACATCAAAGGACTCCTATTGTCACATACTATTATTATCAATCAATGTGTATGTTAAAGATGCCGATTAATTAGGTGATAATTATGATTGACTCATTCATTCAAATTTGATTAGTGACCACCTGCAATTAATTAGAAGCTTATGCTATTAAGTAAGCATGTTTTTGTTAATATTTTCTTGAAAATTACTTTACAAACAAAATGCATCTAAGGAAACACATTTTTATTATATCTATATTCACAGGCACAAGTATCGGACCTGGGAAGAAAAAATATGAAGTTATTTTATCAATCTGTTCATATTTTTTCTTCCCAGGTTCGATAATCGTGCCTGTGTCTATATTAATTTTATCGAATCTGCAAGACAAATAAATAACTTTTTTTTCTAAATATACTTTATTTCAGCAGAGGTACAATGTAAAATTATTTAATAATAATAAGATATTTCTTATTATTCATTTACCTTAACAACATGCAAAGCGAAGTAAATACGTTATAGGCCTATATATTTTTGTAAAGTGGGCCGAGTTGACCCGTGCCGAGTTGACCCGTGCCGAGTTGGTATAGGGCCGAGTTGACTCTTTTCCATAAATAACTGCATGTTATTATCAGATCGTACCTTTCTTCCAAGCTTTGCACATTTAATTATATTTTCATAACTGAGTCACATGCTTCTTTACGAATTCATGACCACTGGAATGTTTCCCGTAAATTACAGCGGGAAAATCGCTGGGAAAAAGAAATTCAATCGCAACTACTCGGCCCTTTCCGTCAGTCTTCTTGATTTGGTTTCTGTATAGTCCAATATATTAGACGTTACAGGCTTGTTATAGTTTTTGTCGGTCAAGCCTGACGTCTAATAGTTATTGCTAAAAAACGCATAGCATCATAAAAAAATCCAAAAATGTCTATTGTCTTGCCTTTCAAGCTTTATTCAAAAGCTTATCATATTTTCTTTCAATTTCATGCTCAATCATACACAAAAACTTTCAAACGATGTACTTATTAATTTAAAATAAAATATAAACATCAATCTATTTTTGTCTATCAGCCATACTGGTTAAGCAAGGTGCTTTACAGATTGATTCCAAATTTTTGAACGGAAAAATATATTCGAACACACTGACGGTGCATGAGCAATTATTTCGTTAAAAAAATATTCCGTTAGATTGTTCTGACTCAATTAAACGCTTGCATTTGAATTAGCCAATCAGATTTCGCGCACTTTACGGCCGCCATTTGTTTATCGGCTGTAAAAGGAATTGAAATACATGAGAGGATTTAATCATGATTTTTCGGATGTGACAGTTTAATTATTTTGACAAAAGGTATTTATTTTTTAGTTTTGTTCATAAATAGGTCAAAAATTATGTAAATACACGCTGTCTTCATTGTATTTCGTTCCGCCCGATTTTCTGGTGGAACATGCTATGGGTTTTTGAGCAATTTCGATATGACGTTGCTTTGCCCAGAAGCAAAAATATCTCAAAGCGACGTCATATTTATAGGACTAGGTTTCTGTACTGATTAGGGGAAGGAACCGCTGCGGGGTTTTGGTTCTCGGCATGAAAATGAAAGCGCAAAACAGTGCCGAAACTCATTCCAGTCATCTCACATCAAAGGAAAGCGTATACGTTGTTATCTTCATGAAATTATGATATTCTAGGGACTTTTTTAAACGTGGTTAAAATAGCGGAAAACATGTTTTATGTTCAAGACATGTGACCAGGTCGTAATAATATGCAAAAATATTTTGACGTACGGTTTGCACGATAAAAATAGGCATGGTGTATACAAGTGCGGATCAAGAAGGGGAGCCACGCACATAACCCCAAGCGTCTGTGATAATTTCACTGCTTATCCGTGCTAGTGTTTGACTCGTAGAGACCAATTTTTCTATACTTAATCAATTATTTTACATAACCAGGTAAAAAATTTCATTATATTTCATTAAAGTAGCCCTATTTAATAATCATAAATGCATACCAGTCCTTAAATTTTCAGAATTTGCAGAAGACCTCTGTTTACATAAATCCGGAAATCCCGCCGATTATTCGATTCTGTTATTTGATTGGTTTAAAATATAACGGCGTATAAACTCCGTCCAACCTTTCTAAAAGCTGTGCCGAAAGTGAAGAAATCGGTCATTGCACAATCATCGTCGGTTACCCGATTTCAGGTTACCCGCGCAGTCTGATCAGGATCCATGCTGTTCGCTTACAAACCCTATAACAAGTAGAGAAACTGATAGCGAACAGCATGGATCCTGATCAGACTGCGCATATGGCACAAAATCACAATTATTTTTCACCCCCACATGACAAGGGATACAGGGATACAAGGGTTACACAAGGTTACAGTGGGATACAGTTAATTTCCATCATGTAACAGATATTTTTTAAATAAAATTTGACTTTTTTGTTATTTATTTCACCTAGAGATATTATTTGAATTAATTTTAGTAAATGTTTTCTATTAAAACATTTTGTAACCATAAGTAACCAATGTAACCCTTGTATCCATGTATCCCATTCTTAACAAGGGTGAAAAAGAATTGTGTTTTTAGGACATATCTAGATGTGCAGGCTGTTCTGGATCCATGCTGGTCGCAAACCCATTATGTTCTATCTACATCTACATCTACATTGTACGTCGGCGCAATCACACTTGATTATGACGCGACGGGTGGTGATAGGTCAAGAAAAAGAAATATACAAGAAATGATAGAAAGTTAGAAGAGGTTGGATAGTACACAGGTAGAGATATAGACAAAAAGTATGGCCAGCTATATTTCGCCTCTTCAACCCAAACCTCTCCGGTTACGGTGGCCGCTGCCGGCACAGCCTTGGATATCACTAGTGGGTACTTGTAGCTGGGCCCATAAGGCGACTTAGAATGTGAGGGCTGATATCCCCTGCTTGAAGGATACCAAGTCAGGGGCCTCTGCAACGGAGGCAGGTAAGCTATTCCATATTGTGGCTGTACGAGGGAAGAAGGAGTTCTTGTAGTACGATGTAGATGTTGATGGTAGATGGAACTTCTTGGAGTGGTCACTTCTAGTGCGGCTCGGGGCAGGGGTGAGATAATCGCTGACTGGTATGTCCACCAGGTCATTGGTGATCTTGAACATCATGGTCAGCTGGGCTTTGGTCCGTCGTGACTCTAATGTCTCCCACTCCAAGTGTTGGATCATTGAGGATACGCTGCTTGTGTTGTGGTAACGGTTCGTCACATATCTTGCAGCTCTCCTCTGGACCATCTCGAGCTTGCGTGTAAGGTCCTTGGTATAAGGGTTCCAGACGGTGGAGCAATATTCAAGGCCTGGTCGCACAAGTGACATGTAGGCTGTGCTCTTGACCTGTTCATTGCTGATGCGCAGGTTGCGTCGAAGGAAGCCGAGTGTACTGTTGCCCTTCTTTACGATCTTGTCAACATGTTGATTCCAGGAGAGGTTTCCAGACATATGGACTCCGAGGTACTTGGTTATCGAGTCTATCTCTGATGTTGGTTTTGTCATGACACGGCTCAATTATATACTTTTAGCAGGAAGCCAAACTTATCTGCAAATTACATGTAGATTGCATTTAATGCTATGAGTAATTATTGTCATCTATGGAATCGTGTTGTTAATAAATAATGATTTTTAGTCAAACAAAACCTAAGGATGATTTTAACTTTATGTATAATGGTAAAACGATCGATTTAGTGGATAACTTTACTTACTTTGGAGTACTTAATATAAACATAATGTTTTTTTTAAATGAAAAAAAGATTTTTGTTTATAATACTTGTGGATCAATGTTTTCTGTGATGCAAAAGTATGTTTACCAATTTCTTTGCAACTGCATTTATTTAATTATATGGTTGTACCGATCCTTCATGGAAGTGAAGTTTGGGGATTCGAACCAGTTCAAATTTTTAAGAAATTTCTTTTTTTTATCTAAGTAAGTTTATTTTGAGTTTAAAATCTTCTAAGCCTTATTGTGTGGTATATGATAAATTGAGCATATTATCAATGGTCTTGCAAGTGAAAGCAATTTTTTGTTTTGGAGTAAAACTATATATTAGTGCCAAGGATAATAAGATATGTACACTTAATTCTGTATAAATCGATGTCGTCTTTGTCCTCCAGAAATATTGTGAATCTAAACGGATAACATTTGTGATAGAAACTCTTAATAATCTTGACATGTCAGAATATTTTCAATTAAATAAATAAAATTAATCACTTTAAAGGTATTGTGAAGCTTAGACTGCATGATCTTCCATTTGACATAGGCAAATATTTATATAAATTTAGAAAAAATGGAAAAAAAAGCAGACATTTGGCCATTGATCATAATAATAGACTCTGTTCCTTATGTTCGTATCAAGCTATTGGTGATGATTTTCACTACTTATTTTAATGTTCGTACTTAAATGGCATTCGACATAAATCTCGTCTTTCTAGTTCTTATATTCATCCCCATATTTTTAAACTTGACAGATTAATGAATAGTTGTGATATTTTTTTACTTAAACTATCTTTATTTTGTAAAAAATATTGTGTTAAAATTAAGATAATACTTCTCATTTTCCGTTCCCTCTCCCATTTGTTCCACTTTACCAACATGGTTGTTTTTTTCTTCTTTACTTAAATTTCATTGAAATTCAGTATTTGAAACTGAACGATATGATCTCCTATTTTTGTTTATTTAGTCAGTCATAATTGTATTCTTTTTATGTGGTATAAGTTGTTTTACAGTTATTTTCTGTTTAATTGTTTGTTAACACCATTTGCGTACTAATGCTTTGGTTTAATAAAAACTGAAAGTGAAAGCTTGTTGACTGGACACACATTCTCAATACTATTGACAAAAAATAGATAAAAACGCCTTCCGCACAGCATATATGTCTTATTATGCGAAATATTTTTTATTTTAAACACACGTCCCTTAAACATATTCCGTCATGGTTAAAACAATTTATTTCTACACTTCTAGTAATCATTTAGACTCTTAGTACACGTCTTTAATGGGCTAGCAATTTAAATATTTGTCCGATAGCATTTAAAAGGTTTGTATCGTCTTTGCTGATATTACATTTGGTAGCCTGGTTCAGGTTTCCACTATTCTGTAGCAAAATGAATATTTCCGTACATTCAAGGGTCATTTTCAAGGGGTATGGAAGATTGAAGGATTGAAGAAGTGTCTCTTTTTAAGAAGGTATGGAAGATATGTCAAAGTGGTCAATTTTGCGACAATGACTTGTAGTCCAAGGGGGTTAAATGCCGTTTGTCAAATATTGTCTGTTTAAGGTGTTATGGGAGAATTTTCCAAGTCCAAGTGTGTGTGGGGGGGGGGGTATGAAAGATGTGTCCAATGAGGGTATTTCAGATAGGTTGTCAAATGGGCCCATTATGCTTGGTATAAATATAGTAAAGACAGAATCTCTAAAGCTGAACGTTAGTGATGTTTTATTTCTGTTATGAAATTTAAATATATAAATTAAGTTAACTAATTTAAGCTCGACTATTCGAAGAATATGGAGAGCTATTGTAGTCGCTCTGGCGTCGGCGTCTGCGTTTGTTAAAGTTTTTTGTAAAGTCAAATATCTCAATCATTGCTTAAGATATTCAATTGAAACTTATAATACTTATTTATAGTAACAATGTAATTCAAATTGACAAGTTGGATAACTCTGCCTACAATATTTACAGAATTATGCCCCTTTTTAACTTAGAAATTTTGGTTAAAGTTTTTGTAAAGTCAAATATCTCAATTATTGATTGAGATATTCAATTGAAATTTACCATACTCTTTTACAGTAACAATGTACATCAGTTTGCAAAGTTGCATAACTCTGCCTGCAATATTTGCAGAAATATTTGCCCTTTTGAAACTTAGAAATTTTGGTTAAAGATTAAAGGTCTTTAAAGATATTTACTTGAAACTTTACACATGTACTTAGGGTCATAATTGAAGGTAACATCTCAAGATTCATTACTCGGCCATGTATTTTGACTGAATTATGCTCCCTTTTGTACTAAAAAATCTCCTTTTCTTGGTTAAATTTAACATGCAAGTTTTGCATATCTAGATACAAACTTGAAACTTCATATGCATATTTGTGGTCATAAATAATGATCACTGAACAGAACCCATATCTGTGTCATGTATTTAGGCTGATTTATCTCCCCCTTTTTTACTTAGTCTCTTGCTTAATGTTTACATGTAAGTTTTACATATCTCGATAACTATCAGAAATTTTGATTTGAAACTTCCCGCATGAAGGGTCATTATTGTATGTCACTGACTAAGTTCCATAACTCTGTCTTGCATTTAGGCTGATTTATCTCCCATTTCCTACTTAGTCTCTTGGTTAAAGATATTTATTTAAAACTTCACATATGCATTTAGGGTCATAATTGTAGGCCACTGACCAAGATCCATAATTCTTTTTTCTACTTAGGCTGATTTTTCTTCCCCTTTTCAACTTAGAAATTCATGGTAAAGTTTTGCTTGTAAGCTGTTATCTCCATAACTACTGAAGGGTTTGTGCCTTTTTGGGACAATTTTATGCATTCATAATAATAAAGCAGTGATTTACTTGATAAAACATCTTAATAACAAGCCTTTGTATGTTTTCGGTCAATTTTATTTATTCATAGGTAAGCATTATTACACCTAATAAAACACCTTTGTGACAACTTTTTCGAAAAGTCGAGCCTTACTGTCCTCCGACAGTTCTTTTTATGTTTGTATTCGCGTACTAAGGAAGTAAGGACTTTTACGTTTATAGACATACCACGTTAAACCACGGCCTTTAATTACTCTGACTTTAAAGTCCGTGTAGTGTCAATTACAGTCCGCGGGTAAACTAATTACTGGACATGTAAATACGATATCCCCTGTTTATGTCCATCAATCATTTTGGATTCTGATGCTAATCTATCTTCGCACACATTATCCTGTGACGTTTTTTTTAAATATTTAAATAGAAACAGTCTTACACAATATTCAAATAGAAACAGTCTTGCACTTAGAAGTCTTCCTTTCAAGTTGTATGTCATAATAAGTTTTGCCAAACGTTTACACATTTATTTAAGCCTTAAAATTTTCTGTTCAGAGTCACG